TGCTGCCTCTGTTGCAGGCAGCTGCATCATCTAATTCCTTTCATCAAGTGCCATCATGAAAGTTTGCCATTTTCTTGTGGCTGTACTCCCTCACGTGGCAGTTCCTTGCTCTGATAGTTAAAGATTTTCTTCCAGATGCCAGCTTCAAATGATTCATAGTCAGTTTACATTCTTTGTTTGCAAGCCAAAATTCCTCTTTAGCCTAAATGGTTCCTGTCCCTTTCTGGTAAGCTCCCTCTCCTGATCACAATGATTCCTCAAATAAAACTGCTCCTGCAGTCATGCTGGCTGGCTGGCAATCTCAGCCTTTCTCAACTCATTTGGAACTTGTTGGACAATTTCAGCCAGTGCTGGCAAGGGAGCATAGTGCTGGTGGGAAATACAGGCGGTCCCTCCACACAGAGTGATGGTTGTTGAGAGAGTATGGAATAGGGACTCAGCATAACACCATCACTGGGGTAAAGGCAGTGAACTCAGCCCTTCTCCACAATCAGGGACAGCAAACACTTGGCTGATTGTGTATTAGCCTGTTTGCCCAGTCTAGCAGACTTGGGAGAAAGCTTGGGACAAAATGCTGGCTGGAAGGGATAGGGCTTGCTGGTGTATACAGGATGGATGAATGAAGCAGTTAAACCCTTATCTACAGGAAACAAAGCCCTGTTCATTTGTGGAACACTTAGTTATAGAGGGTGGTTATGATTTAAATATGTGCAGGGATACTGATATATCCCAGGAAAGGGAGAAACAGATCATCAGGGAAAACCTGAATCAGCTCAGTTCCTCCCTGTGCCAGATGAGCAGCAGAATGCATGCATGTCCCTCAGCTCTCTCCAGCCCTCAGCACAGGACACAAATGATACATAAGTCTCCTGCTGGCCCTGCTGCACAGGGGCACATTTCACCCAGTGAGATGGAGAGATAATTGAGATGATTTGTTCTTTATATATCTGCTAGCCAGGTCCATGGGCCATGAGACTCATGAACTGTCAGACTTGAGTGCAAATTTGAGTGCAAATCAACCTTAGGCACTTGATCAAAGGCACTCTCAACTTTTCACCTTGCTTTGGCTCCATTTTAAGCTCCAGGCCCCCAGTGCAGAGGTCTTCCCGTGACCCATAAGTCAGCATTTTCAGAGCAAATGAATCCCTGTGGCCACAGCTGAGAAGTGCTGCTGATCCATGACTGAGAGATGTGCTCAGAAAGTGCCAGGAAGGCTTTCTTTCTGTTTTGCTCAGTTGTGTCTGGCTGGAAGCTGTCTGAGAACCAGATCTGAATGCACATCTGATGTGTGGTTATGTAACTGATGTGACATGTCTCTCATATAGTACTGGGGTACATTTTTAAACAAACGTCATATTGAAAGAAAGCACAAGCATGAAATTCCAAAGGCATTTGCTTTCACATTTCAGTGTACATTGGTTTACTTGGACAGATAAGCAGATGGGAAGGGGAAAGACAGAAATCAGTTTGACTATTGAAGATGCCCTTCTGAAGGTGACCTACCAGTTTTGCGGGGTTGGCTGGTGCTGTCATCATTGGTGTTGCTGAGCATGCCATCACACCAGATCTTTATCAGTTAAAGCAAGGGTTTTGCTGATTTAAGTTAAAAATACTTTTAACATTCTTGATTTAGTTGTTATATGTAATAAGAAGGATCCATGAAACTGCTTCCTATGAAGAACTTCTTCATATTAGCTGCAAAGAGTGACCCTCTGAACATTTCTTCTGAGAGTTTACTGGATTTAAGTTAAGGTTGCACTCCAGTACCAGAGGATGCAACTCACTATCAAATGTGCTGTTATCCCCACTGCAGCAGCCAAAAGCTGCAAAACCTGATACCCCTGTAAGAGGGCAAATATTATTTTCCTGGTCTGGAGAGGTGAGACACAGAGGGAGTGATTTGTCTCAGATTTATCAGGGAGCCTGGGGCAGTTTGGGGACCTTCACAGGGTTCTGTTTCCTCCCACTGTGACTGCTTTAGCTGTTCTGGTGCTGCTTTGTGCTCCCAGAGTGGTGTGAAGCTGCAGTAAGGAGCCTCAGTGTGCATTTCCCTCAGTAGCCAACAGGGCTGGGCTCAGTACTCTGTCAGTGAAGGCTCTATACGTGCCATTTAGCAAAATGCATAGATAATAACCCAGATTCTGTGGCTTTCTGTACAGGAAAGAGTGTAAATTCCTATTGGATATTAATACATAAAAATAAAAGCCAATGTAACACTTGATTAAAGATTTCATATTTAACCCTGATGCAAAGAAAGCAGGTGCAGCCTTGGATAGAAACACTTTCTCACCCACCTGAAAACTCTGTTACTGATGAGCACAAACCCCTGCTCCTGCTCAGAAATAAATCTGAAAATGGTGTTAGTCAGGTGTGCACCCAGTTGTCCCTGCCCACTAGCCATTGCCATGCAGCTGCACATCATTCCTGGGAGTACAATTATTGGTGGCACCTGAGCTCTGCTAAGTAGAGGAGCTGCTTTGCCATGGGGGTCAAGCATGGGACAGCATAGCCTGCCCTGGACAGAGTTTGCCTCCAGGCACTATCCAGTGCCTGCAGTGGCTGAGGTAACATATGAAAAGTGTGGACTCCTGGCATGTGTAAGGGAGGCTGGCATCATTGAGAGAACAGCGAAAACCGTACCTTGTTGTGTGACAAGACTAAGAGCATGGGGGAGGAGCACAGTGCTGCTAGCACTAGAAAGTAATTGTGCCCAAATCTGGCACACCAGATCTCTGGCTGGCAAAAAAATAAAAAAAACAGTGATTGCACCTCCAGGTTTCCAGATGCTGTTGTTTTCTGCCTTGCTCTGTAGTAGATGACAGTAAAGAGAGAGAGCAGTAGAGAGCTCTGACTAGTTGAAGTAATTTTGTTGCTCCCCTTTCATGGCACTCTGAGGTCTGCTTTATGTATGTAGCTGCTGTTACAGCTGTATGGCAGAAGGTGGGTTGAAATGCCCCAGGATTTTAGCCTGTGCCTGTGCTGGCTGGATCTGGGATTTCTGCATCAAAGGCTGGAGTGCTGAGCTGTGGGAAGGTGGGTTCCCATCTTCTTGTGGCCAGTTCAGCAGAAATACTGAACATCACTCAACAGACCCTAGGACAGGCTGTCCAAAGACTAGGCCCAGTCTAAGCAAGCATGGAGTTCTTCAAATTTTTCAGGGAAAAGTCACCTCTCATACCTTCCAGTATAGAACTTTCCCCTTTGTATTTCACCACCACTCTGTAAGGTAGAAAAAGAGCAGTGCAATGTATTTACAGATGCTGTGTGAACATACTAAGAGGTTGATAGGGTTTATTTTCTCACATTTCAATACAAGTGTGAGAAGGAGTCACTGTAGGAGGCAAATTTCCCTCATTTCCTTGTCCTGCACCCCCAACTGAGTGTGTGTGTATGGTATATAGTAAGTTACCTCCAATTCCTTTTAGGTTAGGATTTTAAACAAGAAGATCGATTTTAGCGATATTCAGTCCCGGTGTGGTTCCAGAGATAACATCAAACATTCTGCAGGGGGAGGAAATGTAAGTAGTATGGACACCCTGTGAACAGGCACTTGCACTGTGGTGAAGCAGGCAGAACCCTCTGTCTCTCTTCCTCTGAGCACTGCTTTCCTTCTTGCTGCTGTTTCACGCGTGAGTTTGGTCTGGTAGTTGAGTGAACCCTGTGTATGCAGTGGTGGCCTCCTGATCTTTCCCCACAGGGCACAACACATTTGCAGAACTTGGACAGGGAAAGGAAATGATGAAAGAAGGGTTATTTCTAAATGATAAAAGAAGGGTTATCTCTAAATGCGCAGGTGAAAGTGCAGTGTGAGCCAAAATGGTTCAGTGCCTTTCTTTCATGGGAGCAGCCCAAGAAAGTAATTTCCAGAAAGAGACTGCAGCTCACAGTGAGACTCCAGCTTCCCCGTTGGGCATTTTCTATGCACCAGTCCTTCCTCAGCTAACCTTTCAGTTATGTGCATTCAGCAGAAGGGAAGAAGAAAAATAAAACAGAAGGACAAAGAAAGCTCAGAGAAGAGGGTGTGATCAGCCAGCATGCTGAGTGCTGATGTCACAGTATTATTCCAGTATAAGAAACTGAGGTGGCCCATGGTTTGACCAGACACCTGCTGGTTTTATTGGGCACACTGGAATAACTTAAGGTGGCTGTGACTGTCCTGATGGAGATGGGAAGAGCTGATGGTGTGGGCACATCTGATCCAGGCAGGGTCAATACAGCAGCCAGTGCTGGCCTAAGTCACTGGTGGTGTGGTGAGCAAGCCAGTGGCATTGCAGTTACCCTGGAGCTCCTGTCTGGCTGTGACTTCTTGGGGCCTGCCAGCTCAGTGCCTGTGGGCCACATCTTAGAGTTATTTGGGAGTGCAAGCAAGATGGGAGTGTCACTCTGTGGCTGTTCCCAAGCTGGGCTCAGCACAGCCATGGCAAGGTGGCAGCAGGAGGAGGGAGGGTGCCTGACCTGCTGCTCTCCAGTGAGCACTGAGCCAGCTGGCCGAGCCTCATCCTGCTCAGGTACAGCTGCAGGAGGCACATGTGTAGGTTACTCAGACTCTGCACAGCGGATTGACAGGAAAGGCATACCATATTTAGATGGAGAAAAATATAAAACAGATGGTAGAGAAAGAAGCAGTCACCAAAATATCCTAGTTGCCAGGATGCATAATCGAGACAGAAGCAAATGGGATGGGTCCTGCTGTGTGCAGGGCTTTGGAGCACCCACTCTGAAAGGAGGAGGCTCAGAAACATTTCAGAAAGAACCCACAAGCTGATCTCCTTTATCTTCCTCCTCATTTTGCTAATAGTAAAGCTTAACCCAGCTTTGTCATCTCCTAAGGTGGGAGATTTCCTCTTTTGTGGCATGGTCTGTTTTCTACTAACCATTTCTCCTTTTCCAGTGGTTTATAGAAGCCTCTCACTCTTTCTCTGCAGGGCTTGGCTTTTAATTTATTTTTTTATTTTATTCTCTTCATTCCTGTAATTTTTGTATGTGTGCACTTTTGACAGGTACAAATTGTAACCAAGAAGATTGACTTGAGTCATGTGACTTCCAAGTGTGGCTCACTCAAGAATATCCACCACAAACCAGGTACTGTAGGAATTTATGGGTTGTGGGACAAAGCAAGGACATAATACTGTTGTTTGAGCTCAAAATCGTGGATGATACTGTTCTCTTTTACAGTCAAAGAGAAAAGAAATACTCTTTAGTAATAAAAATACATTAAATTACTTAACTAAATATATAACGGCATAAAGGTATGAGACCACCTAGTTCAGAGAGGTGATAAAAAAACAATGCCAAATGATGGTGCTCTGGCATAAGATTGAAATACAGGCTGAAGTCAGTGAAATACTTAAGCATGTGTTTAAATCCCATGAAAACCAGTAGGACTGCAGCACCTGCTTACAGTTTAAATATATGTAGAAGATTTTATATTTTACTGAACATGCAGAGCGTTATTCTGTGCTTCTCCAAAACCACTAGATCTCAACTAAAAGGGAAGTAATATGAGTGCACTCATGCTTCAGTTCACACTTTCTCCTGCACTATTTTAATTTCCTAATCTGTGTTTTCTTTTCCTCTGTAGGAGGTGGGCGTGTGAAAATTGAGAGTGTGAAACTGGATTTCAAAGAAAAAGCTCAGGCTAAAGTTGGTTCACTGGAAAATGCCCACCATGTACCTGGTGGTGGTAATGTCAAGGTAAAGGAACAGCTGTCAGAAAAGACTCCCACTGTCCCCCTGGCCCAGCTCTAAATTCAGTGATGGCTCTGAATTGAGTAGGAAACATCTGTCTGTCCTTTTTCAAGCACACTCATATACCAATTTGTTCCCTTTGAAATTTGCATCTGTATGTAAGCTGAGAGTGAAATGTCATGTAGTTTGTGCACTGTCTTTTCCCCCTAAATATAAACCTTTTTGTTTGGGACTGAGGGACAGCACAGGTATGATCTGAGATGAGGACTCCATTGTGAAACAGGAGGAAAACATCCTGAAATTAAAATCACTCCCACAAACATTTGAAAATACAGGGTTTGAAAACAAATCATAGTGCCCATATAATGCTTATGAAATTTGTACAGCTAGGAATTTCTCTTTAAAGCATCCATCAGAGACAGAAATGGTACGAGAATGTAACATAGTATGCCAGTAGCTATTAAACAAGGTGAAAAATTCAATTTTCTAAGGAGAGAAGAAGCTTTGATCCTTCTAATGGTTTTTAAAAGTAAGCAAAATGATGCCCAGATGATGATCTATAACGAGATAATTTAGTGAACATATGATGTGTGAAATTCTTTATTTTCCTGGAGCAGATTGACAGCCAGAAGCTGAACTTCAGAGAGCACGCCAAGGCCCGTGTTGACCACGGGGCTGAGATCATCACGCAGTCACCAGGCAGGTCCAGCATGGCCTCGCCACGCAGACTCAGCAACGTCTCATCCTCTGGAAGCATCAACCTGCTTGAATCACCCCAGCTTGCTACCCTTGCTGAAGATGTCACAGCAGCCCTTGCCAAGCAGGGGTTATGAATTTGCTCATTTTGCGTTGTATGAAGTAATAATATTTAGGCATGAGCTCTTGGCAGGAATGGGCTCAGAGCAGGTGTTACGTTCATTCTTTACCATGTCTAAGTTACATCCCAAGACTTGTAGTTACCATACAGTTTAAAAAAAAAAAAAACAGAAAAAAAAATGAATTCCATAGATGCAGAAATTGGCCTGACCTCCATTTACAACAGGAAGACACTGGCTTTATATGGGTATACAGCGGTATGTTACATTGGACAATTATTGTTGCTCTGCTCTGTCTTGCATGGAGTACTGTAGTATGATAAAAATGCATTTTTACCTTTCATGTGCCTGAAGGCCATCCACCTCTTTCTGAAGAGCCTTGTTAATATCCCAAGTTGCTCATTTCACAGTTCTTTTGATAGATGGGGAAATAAAAAAGAAAAGTTGCCCATTGTAAGTTATTACAGGTTAAATTAACAGTCTGCTTACCAGAAGGAAGGGCATATAGGGAAATTGAACTTTAATTAAAAAAAAAAAAAAAGTTACTTTGTATAAATGAGTAGAACAAAAGTTGAATTAAGTTATTAACATTTTTTGAACTTGGTTAATTATGTCAGTGTATAGCTGGAAAGCCAATAAATTATTTAAATAATAACTAAAAATACTAGCTGAAAACATTTGAATCGTGCTTTGGGAAGTGACGTAAAAAAGCTGCTGAAAGCGAGCACTCATACCCCAACAGACTTGTGTCTGATTAGAAAAGTTGGTTAAGCAGCTAGATTTGTGTGCATACCACCAGTTCCACATTCTTTCCATCTGTTTGATACAGTATTATAGATATATATATTTCTCTGTGGCCATTTGTGATACGCCCTCCTCATATACTTGAATATTCTACTTCTTTATTCACAGTATCTGTGTCTCTTGCACCCTTTGGTGTTGCAATTTTAGGTATGTAAAAGTAGATGTTAGCAGGGGGTTTTTTCCCTATTCATAAGAATACATTTAAAAAAGATGAAAATTGTAGCATGAAGTTGCTTTCTGTAACAACTAAAAGCTGTGACCCTGTTTTAGTGACAGATGCAAGTCTATTCTGTGATGCTAGAAAAAGGATTCCTTCCTTCTTCCCTTCCCTCCCTTTCTTCACAAAGGAATGATTTTTGTGGGGTCCAGATGTTTGTAAAAGAGTCTCCAAAGAAGGCTGAGTTTGGACTATGGATTTTTAAAAAATCCACAATAGTTTGGTTCTTTCGTTCTTTCCTTTCTTTCTTTCTCTCTTTCTTTCTTTCTTTCTCCCTTTCTTTCCTTTCTTTCTGTCCTTTCTCTTTCCCTCCCTTCCTTCCTCATCTTTGCCTTCATTCCCATAGTAACAATGAATGTTTGATTTATTGTTTTTCTTTTGCTAAAGTTGAAACACAGAAAAAAATATTAAGATGTTGTTTCCACTCCTTTAGTGATGTCTCACATGTACACTCAGGCACTCAGATAACAGTGATAATCGTAGCAGAGATGCCTGTAAATTACAATACATGAATAAATAAAAATCAGCTCCCTAGACTGGTTGTCATAGTGATTCATCAATTAAATAGGGCATCTTAAAATCTGAGCAAAGTGGGATTATGTTGACTATAAAAAGTATAAGAAAAAGTGTGCATGAAAGATAAAAGGCAGATACAAACCAACAGATCTAGTGGAGTTACCTGAGAGAACACTGGTGATGGGGATGATCCTCGGCAACAGATCATCACCTGCTGATGCCCTATGTACATGAGACATTAAGGAATGACCAGTTTGCATTCTTGCAGATTGTTTTATCTTTTCCTTTTGAAACCTCCTAATTGAACTTTGCACTGTCAGTTGAGCTATACTTGATATATGTATTAGGTTAATGATGTGTTCTGGAAACTTTCGATCTGTTCTTTTTCCTTCTTAATTTTAATGTGTGTGTGTTGGGGTTTGGTCTGAAAAGACTCACAGAGATTTTTATGTCTGTGGAGATTCTAAAAATGAGTGGCACAGGATTCCCCATCATTACATTCAGGTAGTAATGCAGTTACTGGACAGTAAATATTCAGTGGACCAAAGTGGGGTTTTGGCTAAGCTGCTACAGCAGTACAAACACAAAACGGAGTGGTTAAATCTCTCAAACTTTTACTGAATAAGAACTTCTGACAGCCCCAAACATGACATTTCAGCTCTGCAAAAAGCTTTTTCACACAATAAAGTACCTAACACTGTTTGTAAGTCAGTTGTTTCATACAAAATACAGTGAGTTTAGAACCATCTCAAGTGCAATTGGAGGATTCTGATTTCTGCCTTGTATTTGTTACACTTCTGCTTAAAGTAATCCTAAGAATTCACATGGAAACAGTGTCAAGTGTGGTACATTCAAATCTTCTTCCCGTTTTTTCCTAAAAACAACAGACAGAAAGGAAAACTGACAGTATTTGTATCACTTTGCTCTGATTATGCTATCAATTAATATAAATTAGCCTAGCAGTGGTTTTTCTTTCTATGCCTTTTGCCAGTGTAGGAGAAAAACTATGGTACTACTGAACCTCTGCTCTCTGAACCCGAGCAGCATCTCATGGGAACAGTGTTAACCTGAGACTCAAGTGTTTCTATTCTGCTTTTAAAATTGGCATACTCTAGAAAATAAGGCTTAGTTAATCCACCTATGAGTCCAAAGTTAGAGTGTGTAACACACCAAGTCATTTATTTCATGCATTAAAATGAGCTTTCTTGTTTTGACTGAAGCAAAGACCTATGTAATCATTATCATCCTTCCATAGAAAGAATCCTAGAATGCTGTGGAGTTAGATGAAAAGGAATTAAGAGTTTTGTGCTTTTGAATAATAATTTAAAAAACCAAGTTATATTACATGACTCTAGATGTTCACTGAAAAAGCTCATATTAATCTTAACTTTCTCAAGAAGAGTGTTCGTTTTAAAAACAACAGTTTGTAAATATGTAATGCCCACTAAAGAAGATAGAGCCAGCTTCCTGGAAACTGCATCTGTTGTGTTTCTTTTCTACAGGCATGTTGAGCCAGCAGGTTTGTTGGGTGCCTGAGACCCAATTGTGTAACAAAGCAGAGGTAATCCAGACAAAAGGAATGGTGAAACCTTGTTTGGGTACCTAGGGGAGCACCCCAAATTTAATAATCATCGAGTTGTAGAGATGAAAGAGTGCTTCTGCCTCATCTGCAGAGTTCTGTTTCTATGTAACCACAAGCTGAAACAAATCAAAGTTGAGCAAACCTGTGTCCAGCAAGAGTAAAGGAAAAACTAAACCTGATGAGGAAAATTATGAGCCCACAAGGGCAATATATATTTTCACTGTACAGCAGTAAATGGAATTAATTATTCAGTCCTCTGCTATGGTACAGTAGTAACCTCATCATGACTGCTCACACGTCTAAGTTTGCCTAAATACGCGACTCAAAGGGAGTCAAAAGGCAGCCTGTGTTGACTGCCACATGAGCAGAAGTTTTTTTCCATGCTGGACTAAATAGTGTTTGAAACCCAAGTATATGTCCCTTCAAAGGCAAATGCCTTGAAGAGTAGATCACATTAGCTGTGAAAATCAGTGCTGGTAGATTTCTAGCCTAGGTGTCTGTGAGTTCACTCACTAGTCAGATTGCTAAAGCAACTCCCTCTGCAGCTGCAGCAATTCCCACTGCAGGAAGGTAAATTAGTTTCACACTGGGAAAAGTCAAGCGTATAAAAGCCACTTCAACTTTAGCAAAGAGAAAAAGCCACCAAGTAAACATGCTGTATGCTGGGATATCAAGGAATACAGTCTGCTGTTACAAACCTGTGTTTTTTCTGATAATTCTAGAGCCTGTTACCATAAAAGAGGCATTTCTTGAATGGCTGGTGGTAGGTAGTTCATGTTTTTCAATCCGATTTGCAATTGTATTTGTTGCTGTATAGTGATTGTTTTGCAAAATAAACTCGCTTGTCATCTAATGTGTTAGCTTCCTTTGTTTGTGATCCTGCTCCTCCTGAATCCAAGCCCTGCACATCCAGCACTTGCTGGTACTGCCCTCAGTCTGCCCAGGAGTGGTCACAGCGGGTCCAGTTGTGTTGTTCAGCCAATCCCTTTCACTGTTATACAAAAGGACCGGTTTTTATGGCTTGTATCCTCTTCTGCAGGTCAGTATCTCCCTGCTGGGTACAAATTTGTTCTCTGAGAGGGTGATTAGACGTTGGAACTGGCTGCCAGGGAGGTGGTGGAGTCACTGTCCCTGAAGGTGTTTAAGGACAGCCTGGACGTAGCACCTGGTGCCACAGCCTGGTTGACAAGGCAGTGTTGGTTCGTAGTGTTGGTTGGACTCGATGATCTCAGAGGTCTGAGGATGATCTCCCAACCAAATCAGCCCTGTGATTCTGTGGTCAGCACCTGTGATGCAGGTCCCTGGATCAGAGACCTCTGGGGATGCTGTGTCGCAGCACCCTGCACAGAGCAGTGGAGGCTGGGCACAACAAGCCCTCAATGTGGCTGCACACCGGCCTTCAGGCCCCTTGTACGCCAGGGAAATGGCGGCCCCAGGCTGCCCATGTGGCACAGCCACACACCGGCCCTCAGGGCCCTTGCACACCACAGAAATGGCGGCCCCAGGCTGCCCATGTGGCATGGCTGCACACCGGCCCTCAGGCTCCTTGTACACCACGGAAATGGCGGCCCCAGGCTGCCCATGTGGCATGGCTGCACACCAACCCTCAGGGCCCTTGTACACCAGGGAAATGGCAGCCTTAGGTTGCCCATGTGGCACAGCCACACACCAGCCCTCAGGGCCCTTGTACACCACAGAAATGGCAGCCTTAGGTTGCCCATCTGGCACAGCCACACACCAGCCCTCAGGGCCCTTGTACACCACAGAAATGGCAGCCTTAGGTTTAGGTTGCCCATCTGGCACAGCCACACGCCGGCCCTCAGGGCCCTTGTACACCAGGGAAATGGTGGCCCCAGGCCTCCTCCACCCCCCACCCCGTGGGTCCCCTCAGCCGGCTGGGCACAGCGGGAGCACATGGACAGTGCCAGGGTGCTGAAGGTGACAGGAGTTGGGGCTTGGGGATGAGCTTTTGGGTCTGTCTTGGAAACTAACAGGGAAACAGCAGACTTTGAGGGGTGCTTGGAGTGTGTCATCATGGATCTGCCATGCGTGCATGCTCAGTCCCAGCCTGAACTCAGGCCCAAGGGTGTGCGGCTCTGTGCTCTGGGTGGAACGGAGAAATCATTGATGAGTTTGGAAGGGACCTGAAAGCTCATCTCATTGTACACCCCGCCATGGGCAGGGACCTTCCACTAGACTGGGTTCCACCAAGTCCTGTCCAGCCTGGCCTTGGACATTTCCAGGGGTGGGGCAGCCACAGCTTCTCTGGGCAGCATTCTGCTGGGAGTACTGCTGTACATGAGATGTTACTGAGAGTACTGCTGCTGCTCTGGGCAGCAAACACTGCAGAGAATGTTTGTGTGCCGGCACAGACTACCCACGTGTGCTGGGTGTGGGTGAAGAAGAAGAGATCACGAGTGACCTCACCCCTGATAAGTCACAGCTGTACTAATTACCAAAGAAGAGCAGCCTTGCCCTTAATGGGTTGCAGCTGTGACTAAGAAAGTGTGATAAAAGGGTGGGTTGGGCAGCCGGGGGAGCCTTAACAAAGAGGGCCTAGAGGGAGAAGATCTTGAGGAGTTACAGGAGCCCTGAGGAAGAAGGACCGGTCCAGAGACACAAGGGAGAGAGGTGCTGCTGTAGAAGATCTGCTGTGAGGTCAGTCTGGGTCTGATGGAGTTGGAGGCTGCTATTGGAACTTGCAGTCACAGTGGAACCAGGTAAAAGCCTGTGGTCAGAGGCAGCAGGGAAATACTTTGCAGTCACATTCCAGCAGGAATAGCCAGCAGTTAGGTCTGTCAGAGAAGCCAACAGGAGGAGTTTGCTGTAGTCAGTCAGGATGGCTAGGATGTAAAGGAAAGTAAACTGGGACCTTTTTCACATTGTTAAATGAGAGTCTGTGTCTTGGCTCATTTCTGCCCCTAACAAGAGGTCTACTGCAACACCTGCTCAGCACAGGGTGTGGAGTAGGAGGGAAATACAACTGAGTAGGGTGCCTTAAGTATTCCAAACCTTCAGCAAGCTGCACTTCACACACAATACCGTAATGTTCCTAAGTAAATGCTGTCAGATGACCTGGAGGAATGATAAAGTGCCATTAATTATCCAATAGAAGCACCCTCCTAAGCATGCCTAGGTACAAGGCAGAACTAATGCATCATCTATCTGTGGAAAGGGAGAAGATTAAGAAGCTAAGAACAAAAGGGTAAATCATTATTTAAGCATTCACGGCTAGAACAATGGTTGAGGACACTGGTAAGAACCTGTTTCTCCCTTTCAAAGTGAACAAGGGACAGATGATATTTCTGATTGTTGAGTCTTATTAACAGCATGTGGTAGGTGATCTGTTTCATAATTTGCCACCAGATTGTGGTGTTGGAGTGTAGGCACACAGTTTGTGGTGATTGGGAGTGGGAATGGCCCAGCCTCATCCCCAATGAGCTACAGCTGTGAGCAGCAGGTGAGCAGCATTGGAGGTAACGAGACACGTGGCACTGAGCAACCACCAAAGGGAGCAGAGGGCACACAGGGGCAGGGCATCAACAGGAGGGGATAAAAGGCTGGGCTGAGGAACAACAAGGGCAGATGCTTGCAGCCTTCTGAAGTGGTGAGGTGTTACTGTGTATGGGTTGAGGCTTTCAGAAATGGTGTGGTGACACTCTCTGTGTTGTGGCCATGTGCTGTAACATTGGAGCATTGAGATGAGTCCGATTTGTGAACAAATTCTTGGTTAACTACTTGTTGTTGAAAGGGAGGGAGGCCCAGGAATCCTGCTGCAGTGTTTGTTAGAGGTACAGAGCATCTGTCCATCCTGTGCCTGTCAGCTCGTGGGGTGTTCCTTGCATTGTACAGGAGAATGGCAGAAGGTAAGACGTGGATAAGAGGCAGAAGGCCTTCCACCTAGAGGTGTTTGGCTATGCAGAAGTCCCAGCTGTTGGGATTAAAAAACAGTGTGGCCCTGGTAGAGGGATTCCCAAACCTGTTTTTGTGTGAGCACCCTTGCTCTGAACAGAGAAGCATGCTGGGGAGGAGGTGCTCAGCTCTCTCTGAGGAACAGATGGGAAGGCATGTTTGGTAACTCGGTGGATCAAAAGATCCATGCTTTCTTCTCTAGGAAGGAGGTAAAAAGGGTTGGGTGGGGCAGAGTTTGAGGGGAGGAGATCTGTTGCCTTTTTTCCCCAAAAGAAGCAAAAGTTTTTCACCTGCTACCAGAGCATGGAGAGTCCTGAGCCAAGGGATGATAACCTGACAGTGAAAGCTGAGGATTTTTTTATTTTCCCCCCGTCTTGTCCAGATAATCCCCCTGGTCATCTCCAGTGTTTTGCTCCCTCTCATTCTGTCCTATCTAGCTGTGCCTGTTGTGCATGTAACTGCAGTTAAATGTCTGTGTGAATATGTTTTATTGCTTGAACATTATGCAAAGCAGTAACTTACTGCTTAAGGTGTAGAGGGCCTGTGTTTCTGCTCTGTTTTTGAGGTAGAATTGTCAGATGCTTGAGTGCTGTGCTACTCTACTGGTTCTACCTAAGTGTGGCTGAGGGATTAAATATCTAACTGTTCTTGTGGAATGTGATCCAGCTGAACTGCAGTCCACTCCTACCCAAATTCATGCAGCAACAGCAGCAAAACTTGTCATTTTAGGCGATCCTTGCAGTTTTAGGACTTATTTATCTTTGTTTCTGAGCACAGTTGTGTTGTGCTTGAGCAGGGCTAGCTAGAAGACCTGTGAAGGAGACCTTTGAAGAACCTTAGCTGGAATGTTTTCATGCTGTTTAAAAGCCCTTAAAGAAAAGAGAAAAAAAAAAGAAAACAACAAAAAAAAAAAAAAACAAAACCAAAAACAGGGCTTTCTAGGCTTCTCTCAATTTTTACATTCCTTCTACCTGACAGAGCCATATGGGAAAGGGTAGAACAAGTGACATCCATCAGTGCTGATCTTCTATGACTGGTTGTCCCTAGAGAGAGAGGTTTTCCTTCATGATGGGTCTGTTCAGCCAGGACAGAAGCCTGCTGGCAGCTAGTGAAAGAGTAAGATCTTGAAACTGTGGGCAAATGTTTTTTTCCCTGCTCTGGAATCTGCATTTAGGATCTGTTTGCAGCTTTGCTCTTGGAAAGGCTGCTGCACAACAGAATGGCTTGACATACTCTTGAGAGCCTGGATTCTGCACAGAGAGTTCAGATAAACAAGATGTGAATTCTTAGGAGTGTACAGCAGGGATTGATTGAGAGTGGGAACTTGGAGAGCATAACCATGGAAACAAGTGCAAGGCAGTGAGCTTTGAGCAGATCCCTGCTCTGAGCACTCCGGTGTAAGGTGGGAGCTTCATATTCAGGTTCTGCTCCCTGTCTCCACTCTGTGCCATGCTGCCAGCCCTTTCTGGATCACATCCTGCTGTGCTGGATTGTAAACATAACTGATGAATAAAGGAGTGATCAAGCAGAATCCTGTGATCTGGAGCCATGTCAGACTCCTCCTGCCTGCAGTGAGAGAGGAAATGGGTACATAGTGTCATGGGCATCTTCTGTGACTGACCAGTTGGCATGGGCTTGGAAGTTTTTCAGTTGCTGGGAGTACTGCAGAGCTTTCTTCACTCTTCCCTTACCTGCTTTCTGAAAGCAGTGACTTTTTGCAGTAGTCTTGATCTTTTTGCAGGCAGAATGACCTGTGTTTCTGTGCCAGCCCAAGATGCCAGTGTAGCCTAGGGAACAGAGCACAGGTGAACTTTCAGGACACTTTGCTGTTGTCCTCCTGTAATGGCCTCTCTGAAGAATCTGCTTGTTTCCTCTCTACCCCCACTGTAAGTGAAGGTGGGGGCTGATTTGCAGGATTTTGCCTTTGTAGCATCCACTGTA